TGGCACTCGAGCCCGGCTAGTATTAACAGACACGTAGAGCTTGATTCACACTAAGCCGGCTTTCGCGCATGGTCCACTAACCTGCGCACAGCCTGAAACAACAGCAGGCTGTCCGTGCTCGGTCAAGTAAAATTTCACTGACTCTGAAACCCCTCCCCGCCTCCCCCGAACACTTGGCCCACCACCTCTGTCTCAAGAAGAAGTGTAACAGCACTAGTGCTAACACAGACGCTACCATTTGTCGATGACTAAAGCCAATGCTGGGGGGGTCATACCCCAAAAATCTCAACAAGGAGTGTGAATCTGGGTTTAAACTATTCCGTGTTAGTACATGTTTGGAGCACATTGCGTTATTTCATTTTGGAAGTGGATCTCCAACCAGGCCCATAATCGCAACCATGAAACGGTCTATTGGTATATGTTTTTTCATCTACTCAACATTTAAGTTAATTAGCTCAACCCATGTTGGCCTAACAGTTAACAGTCACCTGATAAATAACTAGGTAGCGGAAAAAAGCTCTAAATGAAGTTGTTCATGGAAAGAATAGTGATAGCAACTTACTAAGTATAATAGCGGAAGCCAAAATCTTCCAACTACGCCTTCGTAAGCGATCATTTGCCTTTTGGGAAGGTGAAATCTCGCTTACGATCGACGTTCCATTTATTGTAGAAAACTGCGTTGCATACTGTATAAGAGCATATGATGCTTGACTTACCGAGAACAAGTTCATAAAGGCTGGAACCGATGAAGGTCTGTTTTGCTTGTTGGCGGCCGTAAAACGTCAGCTTATAAGTAATTTCATCTGAGAGCAGTCCAGCAAAGCCCTGATCAGCAAACTTGCTGACTGTTTCACCACCGAAAGTGGCCAAGTGCGTCATCTTGCGCACAGCATGTAACTTAACTGGTAGGCACTTACCACCTGTTGTCTAAATGAAGAGTCCAACAGGGGGGGACGTTAAGAGATCAAAGGGTGGGGGGAGGAGAAACGGGTCTTACAATTAGTTCGTTTCACCCGGTCGTTTTGTCGCCGCCTCATGGTGTCTGGACACCAGTTGTCACTGTCTCATCACCGTCTCGCGGCATGATAGGAGGTTTGTGGATGGATGTTGAGTTGGTTTTCGGTCACGGGAGCCTCAAGGCTGCTACAAACGCCTTCTGTGCACATGAGATCGGTTACTGAGAAGTATGGCGACCACCTCAGCCGTCGCCGGTCTTCCTAATGACCGCTGCCAACCAAGCGATATTGACTTTACCTCACCTCTCTTTAGCCGAACAGGATGGTGTGCTCGCATGCGCTGGGATAGCCGCCTAATTGTTCGATCAATATAGCCTGCCCCACAGGAGCATGTGAAGGTCTGGAACGAGAGTCTATTCTTCCCTTCAAGGCGAGGAAGTGGAACGCTTGAAAACATTAATCTTGACTTAGCTTCTGTATACGCATGCACGATTGCAGCTTTCAGGCGAAGCTGTAGTAGTTCGCTTGCTGACTCTTCTTGAAAAGACCATGTAAGGAATAAGGTTTTCTTCTCAGTCGTCAGCACTTTAGATTTCGGTGTACGTTACTTCGCCTACCGCCTATCATGCCGCGAGACGGTGAAGACAGCGGCAACTGGTGTCCAAAAGCGGCGACGAGACGACCAGGTGACATGAAATAATTATAGGACCCGTCCCTTCTTCCTCGTACCCTTTGATCTCTTAATGTTTCCTCCTTTCTCCCCCTTAAGTACCACTGATTGGGTGCTTAGACCATTGCTGACTCTACTCTACCCATTTATGTTATTATATTCGCCTAATGATGAATAAATCGAAAACGTTCGTTCGCCTTACTTGACTTCCTGAAACGTCATTAGGTAATAGCTCAAGTTTTACCATGCCTTTATAAGCACATTTTCTGTAGCCAAAACCATGCCGACAGTAGAACGGGTGCGTATACTTACGTTCATTCTGTGGGTTTTGTCTAATTACAGCAGCACCGGTCGAACGTAATGCGCGGAAGCCATTGGAGCAACAGTTAGTAGCCAGACAGACATATCCCGAATTAAAGGATACGAACCAAATGCCCTGTGATAAAATTAGTAATTCATAAAAACTATATAATCCTACGTGCACCCCAATCACTGCATTACATTGTCTGGTAAATTAAAGCAGCGCTGAATGTTGCATACGGCTAACGCTTGCGCAACCGAACCACATGCCGTGAGTTTTATCTTTTACAGCAGCACTGGACGAACGCAAACCACGGAAGATAGTATACGACCGGGTACTCCCACCAGTATCGCAAACAGCAGCCGCCAGCAGTTGCAACCTGCCGACAACGAAGGTAAGCTGATGGACGTCTGCGTCTGCAGGAGCAGTAGGTCGAGAGGTTAAAGGTTTTGTAAATGTGCTTGCTTTTGTGCTTTAGCTCGGACCACAGGTCGCCCAGGTCCCTACGGTTGGACCAACCTACGCTTTATTATAGGCTACTGCATACAATTAATTCGGAGGGACTGATGCCCTACTTCTGAAGTAAAGGTCTCCTAGCAACGGACTTACGATGCTCTTGCGGCGGACAAATGTCCCTGCAAAAGTATGCGCAGAACGGAGATGGACAAGTCTTCAGGTGCGCACTCTGCCTCAGCAAGATGTCTGTGCAGACGAATTCCATATTTTATGGAAGTCGCTTAACTTTGCATAAGTTAGCCAATATGTGCCTGACGTTTGTTGCCGGCAGAACGGTGTAGGAAGCGGGAGCTGTCTGTGGAGTAACCCCAGCACCGGCCGTAAATTGGTTTGCAATTTGTAGGAACGTCTGCTCCAACACTTTAAACAGGCTAGCATCGTCTGTCGGTGGACCGGACGTTCAAATGCAGGTGGACGAGTCGATGATAACCCACCGAAAGTACAACCGAGGACGGAAAGGCCGCCAATTGTGGGTAATCGGTATTTACGACAGTCAAGGAAAGGGCTGTTTGCGAACAGCTGAGCAACCGCTCTGCGCCGCCCCTCTGCAGCGCAATATGGCGGCGGGTGAAGGCCAGCAGTGATATTGTCACAGACTGCTGGAGTAGTTACAGCAAGCTCAAAACAATGGGGTTCTGGCACGCAACAGTAAACCACACCGAGAACTTTGTGGACCCAACGACGGGCAAACATACGCAAGCTATTGAGGCATTCTGGAGTCATCTCAAACGTGGTCTGCGCCAAAGCAGACCTATCCTATCACTTGGAGGAGATCCAATATCCCATGTGGTTTGCATTCCGGAAGAACAAGATACCCGATGCCTGTGAGATCTTCTGCAGCCACATCGTCGATCTGTATCCTGTGAATATGGCAGAAGGTAAATTCTTTTCCCAGATAACTTACACCCGACCCAGTAGGCGCAAAACAGCACACCCGGCATATTAAGGTGCGCCGTGCGGTTGGTCAGTTGTTCGCCCACTGCCCTTTTCATAACAGTGTCGTACATACCAATTACCCATAGTTGGTGGCCTTTTCGACCGGGGTTGTATTTTCGGTGGGTTATTATCGACTCGTCAATTTTCACTTCCATGACTGGTCCCCCAACCGACGACGCTACCCTGTTTAAGGTATTGGAGCAAACGTTTCTTCATATGGCGAACCAATTCACAGCGGGTACTGGAGTTAAACCGCAGACGGCTCCCGCCTCCTGCACTGTTGTTCCTGCTACAAGCGCCAGACACATATTTGCTAACTTATGCAAAGTTAAGCGACTTATATAAAATACGGAATTCGTCCGCACAGACTTCTTGTGCATGCGGTTTGCGCACCTGAAGACCTATCCATCTCCATTCTGCGCATAATTTTGCAGGGACATTTGTCTGCCGCAAGCGCACCGTAAGTCCGTTGGCAGGAGGCCTTTACTTCGGCAGTGGGGCACCAGTCCCTCCGAATTGATTGTGTGCAGTAGTTTAATATAAGGCGTAGGTTGGTCCAACCGTGGGGATCTGGGTCATCTGTGGTCCGGGCTGAAGCAAAAAATAAAGCACATTTACAAAACCTTTAACCTCTCGACTTCACTCCGGGCAAGCTTCTTTCGGAAGCTAAACTGACATCCACTAACTGGGTCGACTTCCTACCTCCCACGGTTAACCAATGCACGTTGCCTACAGCGTTCACCTACTGCTTCTGTAGGCGCAGACGTCCATCAGCTTACCTTCGTTGTCGGTTGGCTAGTATGCAAGGCTGCAACTTCGGGCGGGCGATACTGGTGGGGGTACCCGGTCCTATACTGGCTTCCGCGGTTTGCGGAAGTAAGTGAAGTGAAGTAAGTTGCATTCCGAGATGAAATATAGAAAAGCAGGAGACGATCTTTAAAAAAACGAGTTGTACTCGTGAATTTTCAAACAGGTATCACATGTTCATCGTCAGAATAAATGAAAATTGAGGGCTGGGAATGCCACACTAGAGGTTTTGAGGGCAGAGGTTGCAACGAATTGACATTCCCAGCCCTCATTTTTCAATTTATCTGACGGCAAACAAGTGATACCTGTTCGAAAATTCACGAGCAAAACTCGATTTTCCGAAGATGTTCTTTCTTTTCAATCTTAGTATTGTCTGGGTAGGGCCGAGCACCTTCACTGACCGTGGACGGTA